AGAGTCCAATCTACCACGAAGTCTACCAAGACTTGAGATTTTATTGATGTTCATTTTTTGAATTCGATGTAATGTTGAGATAGTTCTGTTGCCAATTTTTCCAATCTTCTAGATGATCTGCAACTTTGCAAAACTTTTTTTAGAGGATAATTTGTTGGTACTCTGATTTTGTGAGCTTAGAAATAATGCTTCAATTTTCTTGCTGCAGTTAAAACTGTATAAGCTATTTTCTCAATTTCTGAGTAATAGATTTTTGAGCCAGACAAATCTTTCAAAACAAAGTAGACTGGGACTTGTCTTTTTGTGTGTTTATTTTCTAGTTCTTCGACTAAGACTACACTTAATACACTTTCTGTTGCTGAGACATATAGGAGCAATTCAGCCCCTGGGGTTGGTGTGGTTAGAGTATTTGACTTTGACAAGTAACTTTTTATTTCTTCGAATGCATGTTGTTGCGAAGGTCCCCATACGAAGTCTCTTTTTGTTCCCTTGAGTGCTTGAAATATCGATAGACTTTGCTCTGCTGATTTTGAAATAAAGATGTTTAAGGCGGCAAGTCTTCCTATCAATTTTTGGATGTCCTTTATTTTTTCAGGAACTTTCATGTTTAAGATTGCCTGGAGTTTGTTTAGATTTGGATCGATTCCTTTTGCTGATACAATGCAGCCAAGAATTTTACCCTTTTGGACTCCGAAGGTGCACTTTTCGGGATTCAACTTTAAATTTGCTTTCCTGAGATTTGCAAATGTTTCTTGCAGGTCTTCGATGTGATCTCCTCTTTTCTTGCTCTTGACTACTATGTCATCAACGTAGGTGAGGAGATTTTTACCAATTTGATCATGTAGCACTGTTGAGATCATTCTAACAAATGTTGTGCCAACATTGCGAAGCCCCTCTTAAAACAGTAGGTCCCAAATGGGGTGATAAAACTTGTGAATTCTTCATCTTCTTTTCTCATCCAAATTTGATGATAACCAGAAAAACTATCCAAGAAACTTAGCATTTCACTCCGGCTGCTTGATCGACTAGTGTGTCAATTCTTGGTAGTGGAAAATTATCTTTTGGGCACGCTTTATTGAGATCTGTTAGATCGATGCACATTCTTCATTTTCCATTCTTCTTCTTAAACATGAAAATGTTTGCGAGCCAAGTTATGAATTGAACTTCTCTTATGACTTTTGCATCAAGCAATCTTTGAACTTCAGCTTTGGTAGCCTGAACTCTGTTTTCGGCTAGTTTCTCAAATTTTCCTTTTTTGTCTGACTTTTGGATCGATGTCTCGTTTGTGCTCAATTATGTCTCTACTAACTCCTCCTAAGTCATTGGATGACCAAGCAAATATATCTTTGTTGCTTCGAAGAAATTCTACAAGTTTGTCCTCTTCTTCTTGAGAAAGTCTAGTACCAATGATGACTTGTTTGTCTAGGACTAATGGATCAAGAGGTACTCTTTTTGTTTCTTCACAAGCTTGAGCTTTGGGTTTAGGCTTCACATTTTCTATTTCTTCCTTTTCTTCTTCAATGAATGCGTAAACATTCTTTTATCCTGGAGTGTATTCTTTTACAATGTTTCTTGCCTTAGTTTGGTCTCCGTGTACGGTGATTACTCCATTTATTGCTGGCATTTTCATACATAAGTATGAGTAGCTTATGACTGCTTTGAATGCATTTATCGTTTCTCTTCCAAAGACTGCATTGTATGGATAGTATATGTCAACCACATCAAATGTTATTTGCTCTGTTCTTGCATTGCTTACTGTTCCAAAAGAAACTGACAAAATTATTCTTCCAATTGAGTGGATCTTTTTGCCACCGAAGCCATAGAGTGGGTGCTCAGCTCTTCCTAACATTTTGCGATCAATTTTCATGGCGTCAAATGTTGATGTGAATATAATGTCAGCGGAGCTGCCTCTATCAACCAATATTTTTGAGACTGCCCAACCATCAGTGTTTGCTTCAATTACCATAGCATCCATATGTGGGCAATCTTTCAACTGAAGGTCTTCTTCTGAGAATATGATTAGCAGATGGGACCATCTTGTTTTCTTGTATGGGCCTTTCATTGAAATTGAATTTACTCTTCGGAAGTAATTTCTTCTTTGACTGTTATTTTCATGGTCCATGCTATTTCCTCCCGTGATTGTTAATATTTTTCCTCTGCTTGGGATGATTGCATTATTGTTCATTGTTGAAACTGATGGAAAGTTATTCTCTTGCTTGGCTTGGCTATTTTGTGGGTTGTTTGCCACTGAAGCTTTGGGTTGTGCTGATTAAATATTGGATTGTTGAGATTGATTTTGACTCCATTGATTTTGCATGGGATGATACATTGCAAAGGGTTCATAGCTCTATACGGGAGGTGGCCCTGGAAGTAGTGTTTGGGTATGTCCATAATGCATTGGGTAATAAGTTTGATGAGAGGTTTGCTGTTCTTGCCTCACATGATTGACAACTTGCGATTGGCTTGGTGCCCTATTTTCTTTTTGGGTTTCTTTGATGTTTTTCTTTACTTTAGGACACATTTTAGATGTATGTCCAGCCCCTTTGCTATGAATAATGCAGTACATGTCTTCAGGGTTTAAAGGTGCTCTTCCTCTTTCTCTTCCTCTTCCTCCTCTTCCTCTTGTGCCAAAGCTTCTTTTTTCAAATGTTCTTTCATTGAATTGACTTCGCTAGTTGTATTGATTTTGATGAGCATAATCACTTTTGGCTGTTGAATTGTTGTCATTCTCAATTTGATTGACTTGATTGTGTGGTGTAAATGGTCTTCACTCATAATTATTTGGTCTTGGAGGATGGAAGTTGTTGTTTTGCTTGATTTGAGCCCTGAAGTTGTTTTCTTCTTCGATTCTTTTTCTGTAGTCGTTATCTGACTTGCAATATTTTTGAATGACTTCGTAAAGCTTAGCAACTGTACTTGGTTTTTCTCGAGTAAGATGAGAAGCGCATTGGCCTACTCGAAGCCCTTTAATTGCGGCTATTATCACCACTTTATCTGGGATGTTTAGGATTTGTGCTTTGATTTGGATGAATCTTTTGAAATGTTGACTCAGGGGCTCTTTGATTTGCTGCTTGCAATTGAATAGATCTATGTCTATGAGGCTAGCTGGTTGAAATCCTTGAAAGTCAACAAGCAAGTTTGCTTTAAGTTGATCACATGAATGTATGTATTTTGCTTTTAGCGAAGAGTACCATTGTTGTGCTGGTCCTTTAACTACCATGACAAGAGATTTTGCCAATGTAGTTTCATCGCCGTCTCCCGAAATTACCGTGGCTTTAAAACTCATCAAAAATTGCCTTGGGTCAGATTGGCCATCGAAAGTTGGTATCATGTTAAATTTGTACCTCAAAGTCCATTGTGCTAGCTGCAAGTTTATTGACAGGTGAGAGCTTGTGTCAACCGATATAAATGACTTTTGGGAGTTCTTTTGTTGAGAGGTTTTCGTTGCTGAGTTTGGTTCTTCTAAATTTATGACTTCGTGGTTGGCGCTTTGAAGTTGTTTATGAAGGGTGGCTTTGGCTTCTTCTATTCTTTGTTTGAGAGACTTTTCTCTTGCTCTCATGCGACATTCTTCCAGTTATTTTGCTTTCTCAGCACTTGTTCTTCTAATTCTTTGAGTCTTTATTCTTCGGATTCGCTTGCCTTTGAAGAGCTTGGGTTTTGGGGTGTATCTTTTTTAAGACTTTGGTCTTCGATTGCTGGTGGGTCATCTTCGGTTACCCCAGTGGTAACTTTCTTGTTAGGTCTGCCCATTAGCTTCGCGTGGTCGTGGGAGTTTTCGAGCACACACAAATGGTGGGTGCCAGATGTTGGGTAAGAAATTATTCAAGCATCAAAGTTTGAACACGAAGACGAAGTTGTATTCATTTTATGATCGTACTGTACATGTCAGAGGGGGTATTGGGCTCCAGTCTTCGTATTTTACATAAAATGATTATTTTACCCTCAACTCAAATGTTTACAACCCTTTTCAACTACAAGGGCGAAGTGTCATTTTCTCCTTCTAAGCCTTCATTCTTCAATTTTTAGTAACCGGTCTTCTTGGTATCTTTGTTTTGGACTTAGTCGATTTTCCTTTGACCTTCAGAATGTTAAGCGAAGTCAAAATTTTGCCTTCGTCTAGTGTTGTTTTACTTCTCTTTGACATCTTTGGTCGCCGAAGTTGATTTTCTGACTGCGAAGCCAAACTTTTGTCTTCGCTCTTGATCTTGATCTTTGCTTCTATTTCAGCAAAGTCGATCATTTTCTTATGAAGTCGAAATGGTGTCTTCGCTTTCCTCTTCCTGCAAACGAATATTGTTATAGAAATTTAAAGATTTGACTCCAAAGTTTGGAGCTGCGTTTTTTTTACGAAGTTAAATTCCCAACACAGTCCCATTGAACAATAGGATGAGACTTTACCATTTGATGACCCCTGCCACCGTCCTTGAGTCACTCTGATTGCCTGACACAATATCACTAAGAATCAGATAATCTTTTCTTCAAACACCATTATGGCATTGCAGTTTTCAATTTCAAGTGCTGGAATAAATTTGTCTTGTCCCAGTCCATCCAGAAAGATTGGTAATAATCTGAATGTTGAAAATAATCAGCAAGTAAATATCGTTAATTAACAAAGGGACGCAATCTGAATGTGTAAGAAAACAAAGTCACGCATGCCATCTGCTCGCCATGACCAGGGCCGCCGCCCTTGTTGCTTCCCACCTAAACAAAACCAAACACAAGCCACAGCCTCTGAGAGAGCGCAAAGAGCCAAGAGGAAGGAAGCATGGAGAGGAGGAGGCGACGGTTAGGCCAACCGTTTGTGTCCCTCCACCTTCACGCACCTCCCCTCCCCTACTCTTGGCGCCAAAGCAAAGCCGTTAGATTATTGGTCACCATCTCGAACCCAACCCGCGCTCCTCCCTCCCACCATTTATCCTTCCCGGAGAAAACAAGCGCGGCATGCCAATGCCCCCACCGCCCACCGCCCTCCCCTCCGGCGTCGTCGCACCACAGCAATGCGGCCGCCTTCCTCTTCTTCTTCTTCGTTGTCGTCGTCGGCGATGCCGGCGCCTGGAGGCGGCGGCGGCGGCGGCGGCCGGATGTCCGCGTTCACGATGCGCGCGGTGGCGCGGATGTCGAGGGCCCGGTGGTTCATCTTCCTGCGCCGGGTGTACCAGTACCAGAACGGGCCGAGGTCCGACCTGGGTTCCAACCCGTTCAACTCGCCCGGCTGGCTCGCGCTCGAGCTCGGCGTCATCGTCGCGCAGATGGTCCTGACCACCGCCGTCGTCGCCACCTCACCCGCTGAGCTCCCCGCGTGGCCGCTCCGCCTCTGGGTCGCGGCCTACAACGTCGGCAACGTGCTCAGCCTGCCCCTCCTCTATTGGCGCCACCGGCATTCCTCCGCCGCCGCCGGCGGCCGGGGCGACGCGCTCTCGGGCGACCTCGAGATGCACGGCGCCAATGACGCTCTAAGGTATAAAATTCGATTCTTTGTGTTGCGCCAACGTCAAATTTGATACTGAAACGGACAGATTTCTTGGGTGGAAACAATGGGGATTAATTGATTATTATCGCGCGCGCGCGCGAATATATAAATTATAATGCAGGGACAGGTCGTATCTGATGAACAAGGCGCGGGCGTTCCTGGAGCTCTTCTTCGCGATGTGGTTCGTGATGGGCAACGTGTGGGTGTTCGACGCGCGGCTGGGGTCGTTCAGCCGCGCGCCCAGGCTGTACGCGCTCTGCATCAGCCTGCTGGCCTGGAACGCCGTCGTCTACTCGCTCCCGTTCCTCCTCTTCCTGCTGCTCTGCTGCTTCGTGCCCATGGTCGGCTACGCGCTCGGCTACAACATGAACTCGGCCTCCGTCGGAAGGGGCGCCTCCGACGAGCAGCTCGCCGCGCTGCCACGGTGGCGGTTCAAGGAGCCCGCCGACGTGCCAAGGGACCGAGAGCACGATGACCAGGCGAGTAAATTACATCCATCTCTCGATCGCACGCTAGCTGCTGCATATTTACAGGCACGCTGCACGAACAAATGATCACAGTAGCAGCAACTATACCTAGCAGCATTTTGATTGGTACAAATAAAAAAAACGAAGTAGAAAAAGGGAGGCTAGGAAGAAATTCGCCAAACAAATGATTGATAAACTCAACTGCGCCGGAACAGGGCATGGCGAAAGTGGAAACGTGCGAGTACGAAATTAGAACGTGCTCCCTTTTTGGATGATACTAAACATAACAAGTCCTAACTTTGCCTTTTGGATGGCGCCCACTCCTCGGTGAGTCGGTTCATGCTATTGTTGTGAGTTGTGACCGACAACAGAGCAGGCAAGGAGACTAATCCTAGCTTTGCAGATAGCCAGATCACATGATCGCTGATGTCATGTTCAAACTGCGATCGCCGATCGCCCGCAGTGAACTGAACTGCTTCAAGTCATGCAGCATGTATAAGCAAGTGTTTTTACGAGTCTGAAGTCTGAACTTGTCTGAACTGAACTGCGACTGCAGGAGTGCTGCATCTGCCTTGCGCAGTACAGGGAGAAGGAGGAGGTTCGGCAGCTGCCGTGCACGCACGTGTTCCACCTCAAGTGCGTGGACAGGTGGCTCAGGATCATCTCCTCTTGCCCTCTCTGCAAGCAAGAGCTCAAGTGATTGATCGATGCCTACTCCACTCCTACAGATATATGTATATTCTCTTACTCTGACTGCGCCCGCCGATCAGCGGGGCTTGCACCCTAAGCCAGGGAAGGGAGACTGGCCGGATGTGCCACCTACATATACCACGACCGCCGGGCGACGAGGCCCTGTCAGGCGATGCGTGCGTCGCACCTCTCGCGAGGATTTCGACGGGCCCGTGCTGTGCTGTGCTGACCTAGTAGACGCTGACAAACGATCGATGGGTACACTTGCAGCATGTAGCAGGAGAGTTTGATACATTTTTAGTCTATATTACATAGATAGATCAAAAGAGAAATGCGTAAAGATAAAAAAAAAGTTTTTTTTGTATGTAATAATGTGTTGTGCGCCGCCCTTGCTTCATACTCCTACAAGACTGAATGCACCTTTTTTTGTGCTGGAGATCACATGGAAATACGAAGTTTTCTTTGTTGTGAGTTGTAATGACTTCTATATAGGCGTGTGCTGGAGATATATATTTCTCTAATTATCTTCTACTAGGAGGTAATAGGTGATCCTAGCCATTCCGATGTACCTAAACGGACGTTATTACCTTAGCAAATCCCGTCATCACCATCCTTTGATGCATCCCAATTAAAAAGTTCATCAAACGTGGTCGGGCCAAACAAGATTTGGTGCGACTGAAAGGCCTGGACTAGCCTTAGAACGGAGGGCCGATCTCCTGATCGGATTAGGCTTGGGTTCCAACTTCCAAGTCCGAGCACACATTGACAAAGGGCTTGGCCGCTCACTCTGTCTGTCTTTGTTGAAAAGAATCCGGTCTAACGTTCGATTTTGCTCCGTTTTATTTACCACCGGACCGGAGACGTCAGTAATAATAAGGGCGCCACACTTGCCGAGTCCAGGTCATTGACATTCACACGCGGTAAGCGAAGTCAGCAGCATGCATGCTTCGTGCCGGCGAATGTGTGTGGCTTTATTTGTTCGCTGGCTGCGGCAGTGAAGTTGCGACCGAAAGTTTGTGGGAGGGGCACGACTAAAACCGGCGCTCGAGCGACGGGCTCGTCGTGGAGTGCCCTGGCCGGCGTCCGGAGGGAAGGAGGACGACAACGAGTAGGAGACTACCCAGTATACCGTACGTTTGCCGTCAAGGGTAACGTTTTCCATGCGCCGGTTGACGACCTACGCTACGGCTTCGCGCGGTCACGTTTTCCCCGACTTCCCCCCTCATGTATGGACGAGGACATCAACGTACAGACACGGACGGCGATCGTTGCTTTGGTTGCAGGAAGGATGGTCTAAACGGTGTGGATGTGGTAATGAGATCGGAACGTCCAGGCACGGCGCCTGTACAAGGCCTGTGTATGTACAGTGGGCAACGAGCGGCCGGATTTAGCGACGAGCACATGGAGAGCGTGCCTGCCTGACACTGACTGATCCCTCAGTTATCCGCGAGGAGAATCCACCGATCTCCGCCTCAAAAATTCCTAGGCATGTGGATACCTCATCTTTCGGGGCCATGAATGCGCTGCTGTGCGCGGGCGGCGTCACGGTGGAGGGAAGAAGCTCATTGAATTCGTTTTGAATTAACGACAACCGTTATCGCCTCTAATTCACATGCTGACCAGGTTGACTAGAGAAAGCGACATCTTACATGCCCATCCAAAGCGAACTCTGCAGCGGAACAGTGCACATGATGGCTCGGATCACACAATTCACAAGCAAGCTTCCCCTTCTCCGCTAGCCAACTGTTTTACGGAGAGAAATGCTCGTGTAGTGTAGTGTATCCATCAATACACAGTAGTAGACTTGTATCTGTGTGTGCTATCTACCGACCAACAAACGTAGGCGTCAAGAACGTCAGTGCGTGACGCTGATGACCACAGTAATTGTAATGGCCACCTGCGTAGAACCTTCAAACGACTAACCATGTACTCCGTTCGTCCTATAATAATCGCACATCTAGCGTTCAAAGTTTTTCCCAAAATAAACGGCAGCATTGGGTCTCAGGTCTAGTCTGTACAAATGAGTAGTAGCTGCCTCCTGCAGCCGGCTGTGGAACTAATGAATTAAAAAAAACACCAAATTCTCTCATCCACTTGTTCACTTTTGTTCTCATCTTAATGTCAAAAAAAAAATTGTTCTCATCTCAACCGGCTGGAGGACAGAGTATGTCAGCCTTTTCTAGAGAGTTCACGGGGGTAAAAGCGTCATTTGCCACCTTCACTAAGGTTCACATCCAAACTCTAGATGTACAAATAAAATGGGACGAACAAGGGAGGGTTACGCTTACAACTGAAATGGACTATGAAATGTTTCGTGGGGTAAAAAGGCAGGTGGGACGGTCGTATGCTCTTGATATGAGGCTGACATATAGTAGAGATAATGGCCCATATCTCTCTTCACACACTGTGACATAGTTTAAAGAGTTGATCTATGTACTAATTTACTATTACAACCCTTTTAGGGCATACTTAGAACACATGAATTTTATAGGAATCATATAAGAATTTCACAACAAATAATTCAATTTTACAAGGAAAAAATGTATGAACAGAAAGAAAAAATAATCTCGTGTTCGAATATGGCCTAATTCTTTAGAGAATCCTTGCCAAATAGACTGTCGGTCATGTGTTTCCACATATTTATAAACCAAAGAAACGTGCGGGATGAGGTGGTTTTGCATGAAAATCACCTTCTCCTATTGGTATCTCATACAATTCAAAAGTAATTATACGTGATGAAGCAATAGTGATCACTGATCAGGAAATATTATTAGGTGACCAGTGCATACTCACTTTTTTCCCCGACTATAGTTCACTTTGCTTTGTCCTAAATCAAAATTCTTTTATTTTGATTAGATTTTAGAAATATATATTAACATCTACAAGTTCAAATAAATGCACCAACAAAGACATGCTTTATATAGAATCTAATACAACTAATGTGATGCTATAAACTTTGGTGCATTTTCTATGAACTCGGTCAAAATAAAGTTTAGCTTAAAAAAACAAAATGAGCTATAATGGATGTATTGTTATTTCGCATTATGATTTTTTTTCTTCCAAAATTGTCAACGTGTGCAACAAAGGCATTAATTAGTCAATTGAGCAGATATTCACCATTTCATTATTAGAAATCTAGCCAGATAGCCAAACAAATCTAAAAGTAAGTTAGTAGTGAAACGCTTTTGGAGGAAAAACGGAAACTTTTCTTAGGTGACCTGGTCCTACAACACGACCTAACTTCCACAAAAAAAGCATGATTTTGTGCATAACGGTAGCCAGTTTGAATCACAATAAAAATAACACAAGTTTACAAATTTGATACGATCACAAGTGGAAACCATAGTAACTGTGTAAGAGCATCTCAAAGAGTATCCTATTTTTTTCTCCCTAAAACATGTAGTTTTGCAACTTCCAAAAAGATATGGGGAGGAAAAAAGAAGGCCATCTATAAAAGTATCATATTTTTGGCTTCTAAAAAATCAAATCTGGGTCCACATCATTTTTTGCCGGTGTTTTTTTCATGGGACTTGACAGGGTCGCGACAAACCCTTTCTCTCACGTCGCGACCTCCTGCCGCCGCCGCCAACTCCCAGCCGGCTGCCGCCTCCTTCTAGCCGGCCGCGCCCTCCTCCTGCTGGCCGCCACCACCTCCCTGCCGGCCACGCCAGTCATAGCCCGCAGTCGCGACCACCTCAACCCTAGGTCGGCGGCGACGAAGATCCTCAATCCTGAACGGAGCCTGGGAAAGAGTTGCGATGGAGACGACGTGCGGGAAAGAGACGACTCGCGGGAAAGAGTCACGATGGAGCGCGGGAAGGAGGAGACGACGCGGGGAAGTCTGGATGCGCGCGACTAAGATGCGCGCATTTTTACGCGCGGAGGTGGCCGGTTTGCCAAGTACTCTTGGAGATGAGTTTTTCTCTTTTTTTCCAAAAAAAAACATGGATGAGAAAGGGATATGGGATACTCTCGAAGATGCTCTAACCCTACTAGTGAAAAGAAGAATCCCAATCGCTTAGAAAAATGATGTGTAGTTGTTTTTTTATAAGGGTTTAAAGAGATAATATTTCTTTCCACTTCCCCCTAACCACTCGAGTAATAGAGAGTTGTTCCGTCCCTTTTTTCTACTTCCTAAATTGTACTCATATCCTCCGTGTTTTATATGTGACCCGCATTTATGTTCTATACTCATTCATACTAGTTAGAACAATTTGTATTTAGCTATGATAAATGCACAGTTCGATTCCAACACATATTGGATTACGTTCATCCTTGCTTCAGAGCAGCATGAACTCGGAGCACTGCCCTCTCTCTTCGATGGAGCGGCAGCCGGTCACATGCCATCATCGCCCCCAACATAAGACCGAGAGCAACGAGCGGGTTCATGACCTCATCCGGGTTCATCGCCTCATCCTCCGTCTACACGGAATATTTTTGCTATAGAGAAATTCTACTCTTTCTATAACCAAACACCAGGTGAAAAAAGGAGACCACTTAGAATGGCCAGCAGGGAGAGAGAGGTGCCTGAGTAGGAAAATTCGAGCCAGCAGGGAGAGAGAGGTGCCTGAGTAGGAAAATTCGACCCCAGTGTGCTTTAAGGGCTTCCCCAACGAGCGACAGCGTGGAGTGCTGCCCCGGACTCCACGTCTGTATTAAACTTCCAAGTCACAAAGACCGGTGGTTTCACAGAGGTTCTTAGTGTCTTGTAGAAGCTCCTATGGCTTCGTCTGACACAGAACAGAAGTATTAGTTCCTACGGAGAGATTTGGGTGCATAGAAAAGAAAAAGGCTGCACTATGGCAAGCTTTTAGCTCTGCAATAGTAGAGACACCAAGACCGTATTAAATAGAGTATTATAGGTGGAAGACTACTTTTGTATGAGGCTAATGATTTTATGTGCTTGCGTTGGCGAAGCCCTAAGCCCATGTTTAATTCCAAACCAAACTCAAAAAAGTGCTACAGATATCATCATATCGAATCTTACGATACGTGTATGGATCATTAAAT